ATTCCCTTGTTCCCTATGAACCACCGGGAAGTAAACCTTTGACCAGTTATGGATCTGGGATTGCATAGCGCTTTTAGGCGGCGATTTTTCATCCAAGCAGCAACTCCCGAAGAAAGATCTCTTTGTTCGTGTAGAATGCATTGATGATCAAGGACATCAACTGGCTAATGTCCTTGGTACTGGCAAGCAAGACGTGGGCAGAGCAAATGGTACAGGTTCCTGGTAGATTGTGCATATGGCACATCAACTCGAAAACTCATTCTCCTGTGAACTTGCATGCTGAAAAATATAGGATGGCCTAGAAATCGGAAATGCGCAAACCGCGCTGACAGCTGAGAGCGCGGCAGCATTGAAAGCCTTGGGTAACATGATCCGCTTACGGCTGCAAAAAAAAAACAGTGCAAACAAACGCCGCAAGTCGCAATGACAAAGCTGCTGCGCAGTATGGTGCAGCCAAAGCAACATAGGTCTCGAGCTCTGAAGGCGCCATGGCGGCTACAAAGACTCTAACCCTGGCAAAGGTTGTTTTCACGCTTTCAGCAGATTGCGCGCAACTACGTGATTGAATAGTTCCTGTCTGTCAGCCTGGCAACGCACACACTGCACAGAAATGCTCTGTCAAATCCATGTCCTGAAGCTGGATAACAAGTGTAGAGCCCGTGTGCTCTGCAACGCCGAGTGAATGTCAGTGCTTTTCTAGTCATGAGGCAACAGCCATCTGAGATTGTCATGCCTGTGTTTCTTCTCAAGACATGATGTCACGTACCTGCTAGAGATGCCCGTCCTGTGATGAGCAAATGCTGGACGGCGCAAAATTTCCACTCTGAACGCCTGAAATGTGCTGAGGACCAGGCTAGACTCCTCAAGATATGAATCAAACGTGAACTACGGTGCCAGAGTCCAAGTACCTCGACCCACTGACCCCGGTCCCTGTTTCTGCTGGCATCCTCGCTGAAACTCGGATTCAGCCGATGCGGCACAAGTCTAAAGATGCAAAGGCGCAGTACGACTGCCAAAGCTCCAACGCTGGTTGTTTGTACTCAAGGTGTATGCAGTGTGAAATTCTCGTACTTGTCAAGTGCGCGCTTACCTTCCTAGCCTTTTGGCAAGACGGCCGGGAGAGGTTGCATTGTTTCAGTGAAGGTACGGAAACAGCGCTGACGTTTGTGCTTCCTGCAGCGCCTTGGGATTGTAGCATTAGCATGCCGCCGGGACAGTACCTATGGTTTTCACAGTTTGCTCGTTACTCACTGTGCCGGCGTGGCGCTGCAACATTTGAGGACCACCATGGTGCAACCCCGAGGCTGGCAGAGACCTTACAGTGCAAAGACATTTTCAGACAGATTAGCACCGCAGCCTTCACAGGCGGTCTCGGTGTCGGATGCACTCACCCTCACCGTGCATCCTCATCTGTCTTGCGAGATGCCAGCCAGTCGCCACCTAAGGGTCAAGACAGACTGATTGCTGCGCATCTGCCGCATTCAACAATTGTGCACACTGGAGCTCTGCACTAACAGCCGAAGGGGAATTGATCAAGTAGAATTATTTGGCCCTCATCAAAGTCAAAATGCACGCGACAAGCATGAAGCCAGCCGCCTGGGAAAGCCTTGGAGTAGTCCGCTTTGTCACCCAAGGGCTGGTGGTAGACATAAGCCCTGTCGTGCTAGGAAGACAGCGATCAAAAGCTTGAGTTGCTGTGCACGGGGCACATGCCGAGCGCTAATACGTCTGCACAGTAGTGCACAGTGGTACTTGAAATAGCTAGCGACCCGACCTATTCTGAGACTCTCAATGGGAAGTGCTTGGAATGGTGCGGCGCACAAGGAGACCAGCAACACGAAGGCAGGTCATACAAGTATCACCAACCCCCGGCCTGACGAGGATATGCTCCTGCAACTCCCAGTCATTGCAAGAGCTATGTGGTTTGAGGTGGCAGTGGCAGTAGCAATCAATACTCATCCCATCTATCAATACTGGTACTGGAGCAAGCATCGATAGCAGTGATGCAAAATCATAACAGCCATTAGGACCAGGAATTATGACAGAAGTACCCGAAAGCCTTGACATCTGAAGTAGTTGACTCTCAGGTAGAAACTCTCAAGAAATAGAAGCACAGGAAGCTGCTACTCACAAAGGAGCAGGCATGACACCACTAGCAGAAGGAGCTGGGCAGCTCTGCATCCGTCCGCAAAGTGTGTTGCAAATGAAGGTTCCTGACATTTGATAAGCCGCATTTTCCACAAACTCCCAAGCAGCAAGATTACAGGTTCCACGCAGACTTGGTGGTTTCCCAAAATAATCGGAGCCCAATATAGATCCTAATATACAATAGTCCTTATTATGGGNNTAATTTTAGGAAACCCCCACTTCTCTTGGAGTAAGCGTCCCTTTTGGCTGAGCATGCGCCTGCTCCAGCGCTTCCTTGTCAAGGCCTGCAGGTCACAAATGTCCAAGCTCCAGTGTCTTCTGCTTCTGCCATGATGGCTTCTTGTGGCCTTACATGTACTCCTCATTGTAAGCATAAATCTCTGCAAAGTGGCCTTCCAATTCCTGCTTGAGCCAGGGCTGCTCCTTCATCTTGTCCTTCAGGGCTTTCAGAGGGACCTGGCTGACATGGCTTGCCGGAGTTTAGGGTTTAAGGTTTAGG